TCTTGTGACATCTTTGCTGTACCTACACAGCCAATACCTGACTGTGTGTTTAAATATTACGTTTCCTTTAAGTGACATTCATGGCTGCTTTCATAATATGTTATTATTTATGAGGACTCAGGCGACAAAAGAGTAAACAAACAGTTGCCGTCCAGCGAGGTCTTAACCTAGAACTGTTATGTGGCCGAGAAAGACGCACAATACATTATGAACCATGCTATTGAATATTATAGCTAAAATGGATAGAATTATCATAAAAACGCCCGCATGTTATCAGAAATGAGCGGGCGACTGTAACTTGATAATGCCCTCATATTACTTGACGACGGGCCATTATCACGCCCGTTGTTAGGTGACGTCATAGGATAGGGATAGGTGACGTAACGTTCAATAGTGACGTCATCTGGTTTGTTCTATGACGTTTCCATATTTGTAAAAGTGGGTCAGTGACATTCGTGTTGATTGCAGTAAATGTTTCAAAATCGACATTGTTTCTATTTATTTGATAACAAATTCCATCCATTTTAGCTATAATAACGGTAACGCTATTTTTCAGGGCATTATCATTTGCTGAAGACCTCGGGCTTCTGCAAATGATAATGCCCTGAAAAATAGCGTTACCCTTATAGTGGCGTATTATTATACCACACGGATCCCACCCATCACAAACAAACTGGAGATACGTTGTAGACCCACCAGACCCGTCACCATAGACTAGGAATGTATGCCAAAGACTTGCGATGTGCTCGTACAAACACAATACAGACTCCACCCTCAACATGGATATTGATGTATACTCGGACCCCATGCATGGTACCGCGGCATTCATCGTATCGCGGCATTTGTGATTTCCGATAGTTCACGCGGGACACGCCTCTCAGCGGCTGTCTATTAATGCTAGTCAGTAACCAGGAAGTGCTCACTTCGTAAACAATTTCAATTTCCTCGGAATGTTCCGTCTGCTGTAAGTAAAGAGTTATTAATGCGTTGATACATATTTCTGGCATCTGTTGTAATATTGCCTTACCCCCATCTATCAATGGCCAACGATATAACCCGCAGTTCCCGAAGTAAACTTTCTCTATCGACCTGAACTAGATCATCTGCATATTCATGGCGACTAATGAGGTAACGGAAGTTACGTAGTCCGCACATTTTTTCCCGCTCTGTGCCCAGAATCTATTGGAAGATCATAAGGGCCATAATTCCAAACTTAGAAATACGTTCTTCACTAGTAACCAAAAGATAAATACATACTTAGGGCATACTAGGAGTGCTTTTTATATATTTATTGTTGACTTTTAACGTTTTTCCATTTTGTGACAAATTTTAATGACATCCAAATTTTTTTAAACAATCTTAAAATATCATTTCTGATATTTTGCATATGCTTTGAATACCTATTGCTGATAACACATTTCGAATTTTACTTGTGCTGTCTTTGCACATGTCTGGACAAATCACTGATATCTGGCATGATCATACTAAGTGGTTGGTAGAATTATGTCCTCTTTTTGTCCAATTCGGACCTCCATACACAACTTTTCTCTGTCCCGCGATACGATGGAGTTCTCTCCCTTGTCAAACCGAGCACGAGGCCCGGCTTTTACTCGGAGCTACTAATGTAAATAATGAACTTTTATCAGTAAAATATGCATTGTTTGATAAAATGAATGATATCTGATGTAGAGAACACGAATAATCATAACGGTTAGTGAGTGCATTTTGTTCCGCTCAGCGTACATGACAAGTACCGCGATACCCCGAGGTTGCAGGCTACTACTATAAAGTATAGACATCACCACCACCACACACATAATCACCATGGACTAGGGATGTACACCATGGACTAGGAATGTACGCCATAGCCTTGGGTTGTACATCATGGACTAGGGATGTACACCATGGACTAGGGATGTACACCATGGACTAGGGATGTACACCATGGACTAGGGATGTTCACCATGGACTAGGGATGTACACCATGGACTAGGGATGTCCATAATGGACTAGTGATGTACACCATGGACTAGTGATATACACCATGGACTAGGGATGTACACCATGGACTAGTGATATACGCCATGGACTAGGGATGTACACCATGGACTAGTGATATACGCCATGGACTAGGGATGTACACCATGGACTAGTGATGTACACCATGGACTAGGGATGTACACCATGGACTAGTGATATACGCCATGGACTAGGGTTGTACACCATGGACTAGTGATATACGCCATGGACTAGGGATGTACACCATGGACTAGTGATATACACCATGGACTAGAGATGTACACCATGGACTAGTGATGTACGCCATGGACTAGTGATATACACCCTTGACTAGTGATGTACGCCATGGACTAGTGATATACACCATGGACTATGGATGTACACTATGGACTAGTGATGTACACCATGGACTAGTGATATACACCATGGACTAGGGACGTACACCATGGACTAGTGATATACACCATGGACTAGGGATGTACACCATGGATTTGTGATATACACCATGGACTAGGGGTGTACACCATGGACTAGTGATATACACCATGGACTAGGGATGTACACCATGGACTAGTGATATACACCATGGACTAGAGATGTACACCATGGACTAGTGATATACACCATGGACTAGCGACGTACACCATGGACTAGTGATATACACCATGGACTAGGGATGTACACCATGGACTTGTGATATACACCATGGACTAGGGGTGTACACCATGGACTAGTGATATACACCATGGAATAGGGATGTACACCATGGACTAGTGATATACACCATGGACTAGGGATGTACACCATGGACTAGTGATGTACGCCATGGACTAGTGATATACACCATTGACTAGTGATATACACCATGGACTAGGGATGTACACCATGGACGAGTGATGTACACCATAGACTAGTGATAAAACACCATGGACTAGGGATGTACACCATGGACTAGTGATAAAACACCATGGACTAGGGATGTACGCCATGGACTAGGGATGTACACCATGGACTAGTGATATACACCATGGACTAGGGACGTACACCATGGACTTTAGATTCATAAACACATTATTTTGATGTAGTCGAAATCGTTCAGTGGAATCTGTTTTTGGCAGAGATGATTATGTGGTTGGTTGGTTGGTTGATTAGTTGGTTGGTTGGTTGGATAACGCCACACTCAGCAATATTTCAGCTATATGACGGTGGTCTGTAAATAATCGAGTCTGGACCAGACCATCCAGTGATCCTGAGCATCGATCCAAGCAATTGGGATCGATGACATTCATCAACCAAGTCAGCGAGCCTGACCGTTAGTCGCCTCTTAAGACAAGCAGAGTCGCCTTTTACGGCAAGTATATGGGTTGGCGAAGACCTATTCTACCCCGGATCTTCACGGGTCTACTAATATGGAAAGAGCTTTGTCGATGCATTTGTTTGTAACCGTCTGACATGTTTTGGGTCACCGCTTCAAGGAAGGAAGAGACAAACAGTTTTATCAGGACAGCCAGCTTGGCCAGCGAACAATATATTTCGGGGATTAACCCTGGCGTAACGGACTGACAATTTGATATTCTGGGGGGTGCCTGGGACTTTGCATCGATTTTGTATTTTTTTCTCACCCGCAAAACTATATATTTGTTATTTTACAACTATGACATTGATTTTATATTTTAAGAAAAACGTCTTGAAACGAGGTAATTTTTGTGGCAGGCAATATATTTTTTTCCTTTTCAACAATATGAGGCATAAATATTTTTTTCAAGTAAATTCTGCGACAATTCATTTTTTAGTGAATATCCCAGGCTGCCCGATATCTACCGTCACATATGTCTGCGACTGTGACCATGACAAAACATATATATAGATACATACATACATGTGAAAATGGCCCGTTAACAAAGATGTAACATGCTATGTTTAGATTACCAGATAACAGCTTTCATAAAATGCAATAAAAACATTTTTCATGACCACTTCTCATTTTCATTTATGTTTGCGGGTTGTATACCAGCATGTTGCCATATGCTACACGATCCTTCAGTTTGAATACAATATTTATCGGCAAAACATCAAGCGATGTATTTTAGAATTAGTCATGACCTGTCCACATTAGTGCACCTTAAGCACGGCACGCTCTCTTGATGAAGAATGGGCTGCACACTATATAGAGGATATGTCATGTGTCTCGTGAAATATCATGTTTTTCTCATCGAGTGACAGGGGCAAAGGGGATATTTCTCGTGTGTGTAGTTGTCTACCGGAAATTTAAATCATTTCATTTCAATTGTTAACCTTGAAATGTAAATTCCCCCTCCCCCTTCCTAGCACAGGGAAGGTTCACCACCCCTTTTCTTGCGACTTATAAAGTAGTTTTGTGTTTGCAAAATCTTAAAAAACATAAACAAAAGTATCATAAAATATTTAGGGTCACGAAAATTGTTTATCATACATTTAGAAAATACAAAAATTTACAAAAAATCAAGAATATTCTTGAAAACTACGAGATCGCTGTTGGAAGCGAAAAAATACACGCGGGTCAAGTAACAAACGTGACGCTTTGCGAAACGAACAGTCTCGATTGAGGAGTTAAGTGAGAATACTACAGTTTATAAGGAAACATTTTCGAGAGAATAACAAGCGATATTAACTCCCTGAATCACAATATGCCATTACTTTGCCTTGTCAATAAACTAGGAACTAACGTAAATAGGACGTCAACAGTTTGTATGCGGGCTTGACACTTTCGATTGCAGGAGACAGTTTGAGGGGAAGTAACTCTTGCATGACAATCGTTCCGTCAAAGTGTAATGTTCACTGCAGTGAAATATCAAGTATTACGTTCACTGCAATGAAAATATCACTTTTCTCAACTACAGAAAACTGAGTCTTCCACACTGAAGTAAATAATAAATTCGGAAATGCTGGCAGTTAGGCAAGTGACAGCTTGAAGTGTGATATACAACCTAAGGTCAAGCGGTTTATGGTGCTATCTTAAGATCACTCGTAGGTCCACAATGTCTTTCCGTACATGTATCCTTGTCTGAATATGTATCCTTGTCTGAAAGGTGCGCAAGGGTCAACGCAGCTGTGATTCCGGAACTTTGTCGTGGTGGTGTAATTATTCATTCAGAGACGTTCAGCTGTTTACATGTGATATCTAGTCAGGCGAAGACCGAAACAGCTTCCTGGTGTACAGACTCGCCGCTATGGAGGCGGTCAGACTCGCCGTCCTACTCTGTGTCTGTCTCCTAAACCTGACATCAGGTAGGTGACCATATTATAACTAAATAAGAGGAAATATTTTGTATATATTGTGTAATAACGACGGAGTGATCATGTGATCAGTAAGGCGGTTTTATCATTGCGTCTTCTCCTGTAGAAAATCTAACGGATGTCCCTTGGTGTATGCGAATTCACTCAAACAAGGGAATCGGGGTATATTTGAAATAGTTGGAATTGGAAGTTATATTTCTTTTCGTAAATACCACGAAACTATATATTTTGAAAAAAAACATCCAATGCTACGTCGCCAAATCAGGACAAACAATAGCTTATGTTGAACCTGGTTGATGTTATGGATATTTATCGTTTAATGTAGTGTAAATATGCTATGGTAGCCTAAAGTGTGTATACATGCAGTGATAACAGGGCCCCGGTAGCTCAGTCGTCTAAGACGGTAAATCAAAGTTGTAAACGTATGGACACCCACATCACCTCGGGCTTTTCCCCCACATTAAGCTGACACGCCGTAATATATCTGGAATACTGTTAAAAGTGGCGTTAAACCAAACTCACTCAAGCTCACAAATGATAACACAGTGTCTATTTGTTGTGACAGACAACAGTGTCTATTTGTTGTGACAGACCACAGTGTCTATTTGTTGTGACAGACCACAGTGTCTATATGTTGTGACAGACCACAGTGTCTATATGTTGTGACAGTCCACAGTGTCTATATGTTGTTACAGACCACAGTGTCTATTTGTTATGACAGTCCACAGTGTCTATGTTGTGACAGACAACAGTGTCTATTTGTTGTGACAGTGCACAGTGTCTATATGTTGTCACAGACCACAATGTCTATTTGTTGTTACAGACCACAATGTCTATTTGTTGTTACAGACCACAGTGTCTTTTTGTTGTGACAGTCCACAGTGTCTATGTTGTGACAGACAACAGTGTCTATTTGTTGTGACAGTCCACAGTGTCCGTTTGTTGTGACAGACCACAGTGTCTATTGGTTGTGACAGACAACAGATTCTATTTGTTGTGACAGACAACAGTGTCTATTTGTTGTGACAGACCACAGTGTCTATTTGTTGTGACAGACAACAGGGTCTATTTGTTGTAACAGTACACAGTGTCTATTTGTTGTGACAGACAGCAGATTCTATTTGTTGTGACAGACCACAGTGTCTATTTGTTGTGACAGACCACAGTGTCTATTTGTTGTGACAGACCACAGTGTGACATACTGTTTGATGTATTTAAATTCTAATTGTAACGATAACACATCTTTTGTAATCAGTGCAATATCTAGAATATGCTGTGTGTTATTCATCAATGGCGACTTTGCCACCATGCATGTGTGCCTGATGTGATTAGAGAAAGTGCGTGAGTTGGATAACCCCCTTTATTACGGAATTACATATTTTCCTCCTCTTTAACCCCACTTTGAAGGTGCATACATACAACACAAATCACCTACGGAATCACACGTCGCAAATGAATGATTCTGCAAGCCCATGTATTCATACAGTTTGACCCTCACTCTGTAGGGTTTCATACTCAAATGAATTCACACAAAGTGAAAATCAATTCTCAAAATTATGCGTTGTGCCGCCATTGTCCACATTGCGAATGTAATACATATAAACTACGTCCTTGGTGTCTATTGAGCGGGAATGTGACGACAATGATAATCGGTTGTGAGATAGAGGAAGCGATAAGGATGAAAGAGCAGTTCCGGTTCAAGGGTCATTAGTACACTGTATACTAACCAGACAGGAGGCGGATAACACTCAACCTCATGTAAACTACCGCGGCAAAGGAAAGTGTACATAAAAATTGGATTTAAACATTAAAATTGAAAAAAAAACGTTATCAAAACGTTACTAGGCTGTAAACAGATGCCGAAACACTGCAAACTTAAGGTCACAAAACACAACTATGATAACCCCATCAAATACATTACCATTTAATAACCATTTCTGGGTATTTCATTTTTAGCCACTTTCAAACATGGCTGTGTATATATTTTCTTTTGCACGGCAGTTTTTATTTACTTAGCACAACTATTGAAGTGCTTCGTTATTGTATATAATGTAATGTAAATGGGATATTGCTTTCCAAGTATAGCTGGTGATCATTACCTGACATGATGATCACAGTCTGTGTTAGTTACGATGTTATTGCTATACTCCTGCTCCACTTGCTCGCTGATACAGTACTTCCGTTACAGGCACCTGTTCACAGTCACTGTCTTTCTCTGATGTAATACTTTTGTTACAGGCAGCTGCCCGGATGGTACATACAGCTACCAGTGTCACTGTCTATCTCTGATATACTACTTCTGTTACAGACATCTGTCCTAACGGTACATACGGCTACCAGGGTCACTGTCTATCTCTGTTATAATACTTCTGTTACAGGCAGCTTCCTTGGTGATACATACGTCTACCAGTGTCACTGTCTATCTCTGATATAATACTTCTGTTACAGACAGCTGTCCTAACGGTACATACGGCTACCAGTGTCACTGTCTGTCTCTGATATAATACTTCTGTTACAGGCAGCTTCCTTCGTGATACATACGTCTACCAGTGTCACTGTCTATCTCTTATATAATATTTCTGTTACAGGTAACTGTCCTGATGGTACATACGGCTACCAGTGTCACTGTCTATCTCTGATGTAATACTTCTGTTACAGGCAGCTTCCTTGGTGATACATACGTCTACCAGTGTCACTGTCTATCTTTGATACAATACTTCTGTTACAGACAGCTGTCCTAACGGTACATACGGCTACCAGTGTCACTATCTATCTCTGATATAATACGTTTGTTAAAGCAGCTGTCTTGATGGTACATACAGCTACCAGGGTCACTGTCTATCTCTGATACAATACTTATGTTACAGGCAGCTGTCCCAACGGTACATACGGCTACCAGTGTCAATGTCTATCTCTGATATAATACTTCTGTTACAGACAGCTGTCCTAACGGTACATACGGCTACCAGTATTCACTGTCTATCTCTGATATAATACTTCTGTTACAGGCAGCTGTCCTAACGGTACATACGGCTACCAGTGTCAATGTCTATCTCTGATATAATACTTCTGTTACAGGCAGCTTCCTTGGTGATACATACGTCTACCAGTGTCACTGTCTATCTCTTATATAATATTTCTGTTACAGGTAACTGTCCTGATGGTACATACGGCTACCAGTTTTCACTGTCTATCTCTGATGTAATACTTCTGTTACAGACAGCTGTCCTAACGGTACGTACGGCTACCAGTGTCACTGTCTATCTCTGATACAATACTTCTGTTACAGACAGCTGTCCTAACGGTACATACGGCTACCAGTGTTCACTGTCTATCTGTGATATAATACTTCTGTTACAGGCAGCTGTCCTAACGGTACATACGGCTACCAGTGTCAATGTCTATCTCTGATATAATACTTCTGTTACAGGCAGCTTCCTTGGTGATACATACGTCTACCAGTGTCACTGTCTATCTCTCATACAATACTTCTGTTACAGACAGCTGTCCTAACGGTACATACAGCTACCAGGGTCACTGTCTATCTCTGATATAATACTTCTGTTACAGGCAGCTGTCCTAACGGTACATACGGCTACCAGTGTCCCTGTCTATCTCTGTTATGATACTTCTGCTACAGGCAGCTTCCTTGGTGATACATACGTCTACCAGTGTCACTGTCTATCTCTGATATAATACGTTTGTTAAAGCAGCTGTCTTGATGGTACATACAGCTACCAGGGTCACTGTCTATCTCTGATACAATACTTATGTTACAGGCAGCTGTCCCAACGGTACATACGGCTACCAGGGTCACTGTCTATCTCTGATATAATACTTCTGTTACAGGCAGCTTCCTTGGTGATACATACGTCTACCAGTGTCACTGTCTATCTCTCATACAATACTTCTGTTACAGACAGCTGTCCTAACGGTACATACGGCTACCAGGGTCAATGTCTATCTCTGATATAATACTTCTGTTACAGGCAGCTTCCTTGGTGATACATACGTCTACCAGTGTCACTGTCTATCTCTGATACAATACTTCTGTTACAGACAGCTGTCCTAACGGTACATACGGCTACCAGGGTCAATGTCTATCTCTGATATAATACTTCTGTTACAGGCAGCTTCCTTGGTGATACATACGTCTACCAGTGTCACTGTCTATCTCTCATACAATACTTCTGTTACAGACAGCTGTCCTAACGGTACATACGGCTACCAGGGTCACTGTCTATCTCTGATACAATACTTCTGTTACAGACAGCTGTCCTAACGGTACATACGGCTACCAGGGTCACTGTCTATCTCTGATATAATACTTCTGTTACAGGCAGCTTCCTTGGTGATACAAACGTCTACCAGTGTCCCTGTCTATCTCTGATATGATACTTCTGCTACAGGCAGCTTACTTCGTGATACATACGTCTACCAGTGTCACTGTCTATCTCTGATACAATACTTCTGTTACAGACAGCTGTCCTAACGGTACATGCGGCTACCAGTGTCACTGTCTATCTCTGATATAATACTTCTGTTACAGGCAGCTTCCTTGGTGATACATACGGCTACCAGGGTCACTGTCTATCTCTGATACAATACTTCTGTTACAGGCAGCTGTCCTAACGGTACACACGGCTACCAGTGTCCCTGTCTATCTCTGATATGATACTTCTGCTACAGGCAGCTTCCTTGGTGATACATACGTCTACCAGTGTCACTGTCTATCTCTTATATAATACGTTTGTTAAAGCAGCTGTCTTGATGGTACATACAGCTACCAGGGTCACTGTCTATCTCTGATACAATACTTATGTTACAGGCAGCTGTCCTAACGGTACATACGGCTACCATTGTTCACTGTCTATCTCTGATATAATACTTCTGTTACAGGCAGCTGTCCTAACGGTACATACGGCTACCAGTGTTCACTGTCTATGTCTAATATAATACTTCTGTTACAGGCAGCTGTCCTAACGGTACATACGGCTACCAGGTTCACTGTCTATCTCTGATATAATACTTCTGTTACAGGCAGCTTCCTTGGTGATACATACGTCTACCAGTGTCACTGTCTATCTCTCATACAATACTTCTGTTACAGACAGCTGTCCTAACGGTACATACGGCTACCAGTGTCAATGTCTATCTCTGATACAATACTTCTGTTACAGGCAGCTGTCCTAACGGTACACACGGCTACCAGTGTCAATGTCTATCTCTGATATGATACTTCTGCTACAGGCAGCTTCCTTGGTGATACATACGTCTACCAGTGTCACTGTCTATCTCTGATATAATACTTCTGTTACAGGCAGCTGTCCTAACGGTACATACGGCTACCAGTGTTCACTGTCTATCTCTGATATAATACTTCTGTTACAGGCAGCTGTCCTTATGGTACATACCGCTACCAGTGTTCACTGTCTATCTCTGATATGATACTTCTGTTACAGACAGCTGTCCTAACGGTACATACGGCTACCAGTGTCACTGTCTATCTCTGATATAATACTTCTGTTACAGGCAGCTTCCTTGGTGATACATACGTCTACCAGTGTCACTGTTTAGCTCTGATATAATACGTTTGTTAAAGCAGCTGTCTTGATGGTACATACAGCTACCAGGGTCACTGTCTATCTCTGATACAATACTTATGTTACAGGCAGCTGTCCTAACGGTACATACGGCTACCATTGTTCACTGTCTATCTCTGATATAATACTTCTGTTACAGGCAGCTGTCCTAACGGTACATACGGCTACCAGTGTTCACTGTCTATCTCTGATATAATACTTCTGTTACAGGCAGCTGTCCTTATGGTACATACGGCTACCAGTGTTCACTGTCTATCTCTGATATGATACTTCTGTTACAGGCAGCTTCCTTGGTGATACATACGTCTACCAGTGTCACTGTCTATCTCTGATATAATACGTTTGTTAAAGCAGCTGTCTTGATGGTACATACAGCTACCAGTGTCACTGTCTATCTCTGATACAATACTTATGTTACAGGCAGCTGTCCTAACGGTACATACGGCTACCAGTGTTCACTGTCTATCTCTGATATAATACTTCTGTTACAGGCAGCTGTCCTAACGGTACATACGGCTACCAGTGTTCACTGTCTATCTCTGATATAATACGTTTGTTACAGGCAGCTGTGCTAAGGGTACATACGGCTACCAGTGTTCACTGTCTATCTCTAGGCATAATACTTCTGTTACAAACAGATGACCTGATGGAACATACGGCTACCAGGGTCACTGTCTATCTCTGATATCATACTTCTGTAACAGGCAACTTCCTTGGTGATACACGTCTACCAGTGTCACTGTCTATCTCTGATATAATACGTTTGTTAAAGGCAGCTGTCCTGATGGTACATACGGCACCAGTGTCACTGTCTATCTCTGATGTAATACTTCTGTTACAGGCAGCTTCCTTGGTGATACATACGTCTACCAGTGTTCACTGTCTATCTCTGATATAATACTTCTGTTACAGGCAGCTGTCCTTACGGTACATACGGCTACCAGTGTTCACTGTCTATCTCTGATATAATACTTCTGTTACAGGCAGCTGTCCTAACGGTACATACGGCTACCAGTGTTCACTGTCTATCTCTAGGCATAATACTTCCGTTACAAACAGATGACCTGATGGAACATACGGCTACCAGGGTCACTGTCTATCTCTGATATCATACTTCTGTTACAGGCAACTTCCTTGGTGATACACGTCTACCAGTGTAACTGTCTATCTCTGATATAATACGTTTGTTAAAGGCAGCTGTCCTGATGGTACATACGGCACCAGTGTCACTGTCTATCTCTAGGCATAATACTTCCGTTACAAACAGATGACCTGATGGAACATACGGCTACCAGGGTCACTGTCTATCTCTGATGTAATACTTCTGTTACAGGCAGCTTCCTTGGTGATACATACGGCTACCTGTGTCACTGTCTATCTCTGATATAATACTTCTGTTACAGGCAGCTGTCCTAACGGTACATACGGCTACCAGTGTTCACTGTCTATCTCTGATATAATACGTTTGTTAAAGGCAGCTGTCCTGATGGTACATACGGCACCAGTGTCAATGTCTATCTCTGATGTAATACTTCTGTTACAGACAGCTTCCTTGGTGATACATACGTCTACCAGTGTCACTGTCTATCTCTGATATAATACTTATGTTACAGGCAGCTGTTCTGATGGTACATACAGCTACTAGTGTCACTGTCTATCTCTGATATAAAACGTTTGTTTAAGCAGCTGTCTTGATGGTACATACAGCTACCAGGGTCACTGTCTATCTCTGATACAATACTTCTGTTACAGACAGCTGTCCTAACGGTACATACGGCTACCAGTGTCAATGTCTATCTCTTATATAATATTTCTGTTACAGGCAGCTGCCTTGATGACACATACGGCTACTTGTGTCACTACCTTGTACAAGACGTTTTTCTTACATGTAGCTTCCAATTGCTATGTCTGTGTTTGAGACAAAACGTATGTTACAGGAAGATATCTTGATGGTAAATACGACCACCTGTGTTACTGAGATATTACGTCTGCAACAGGCAGTTCATTGTGTTACGAGTGTCATAGATCTCATATAGCATACTCCTGTTACAGCCGGCTGCCCGCCAGGGACATACGGCAACTTGTGTGCTTACACCTGTAACTGCCTGCAGACAGCGTGTAATCCTACAGATGGATGCAGAGCAACGACCTGCAACAGAGGGTGGTCAGGACCGACATGTCAGAAACGTAATGACTAACTATATTTTGTTCATCAAATATTTCCTAATGTACATGTTTTAGTGACTTTCATGTATATCAACAAAAGGAAGACCTGTCATAAACTTTAGTTCAACAGACCATGTACTTTGGCAATTAGCTTTTCTGTACACGGAATATCGACCTGCTTTACAACTTTGTGTGAAAGTCTCATCACGCAGTAAACATTCGAATGAGTGCATGCTCTGTAATAGGCATGCTTCGACTATGACAGCCACATTATTTTACATTGTGAAGCGCTTATATCAGAAAGAAATGCGTTTTTCTCTTCTCCCATTGACTTACTTGATCTGGTTCAACACACCTGGGAATCTATTATACCACAATTCGCCTCGTATCTGTACAAACAAAAGCATCTTTTGATATATATCTTTTAGTGAATATCTGTCTTCGTTTAGGTATCTGAATTTGATAAACTGTGCGTAATTGTAAATATGTTATGCCTTTTTTTATTGTGTTAACCGCGTGTAATTGAATATATTTTCATTGTAATCTTCGGAATGACATCTGGAGGAAATAAGGAATATCTCTCTCTCTCTCTCTCTCTCTCTCTCTCTCTCTCTCTCTCTCTCTCTCTCCTCCCTCTCTCTCTCTCTCTCTTTCTCTCTTTATCTCTCTCTTTCTCTCTCTCTCTAAATACAATTAGCGTAATTGGATGGGATGGCTGTCTATGGTATATCTAATTCAGGTTATATTATTGATTTGATGCATTCCTCGTTATCTGGCTATTTATGGGAATGACAGTTAAGAGTTAAGTTATACAAAAACCATTACGAGCGTGAAGTATACAATATAAAAGCACATTAAAATATTGAATACAGAATTTAATGAAGCTTTCAAGAAGTTTTATGGTAGACACGTGGATTTCCAAAGTTGACGCATCAGGATCAGTGACAAAACGATGGCCGATGCTACTCCCTATTTTGACGTGTACCAAATGTTCCCGTGTTTTTCTACGTGAAGAATTGACTTGCATGTGCATGTGTTTGTAACGGGTGCCGCCGATGGGGCAGGATACGCCCACCTTTCCGAGAACACCTGGTATCATCATTATTTCGAGTGATTCGAAAAAATTTGCAAATGATATAGTCGGAATCGTACAAAGGACTCTGCCCATGGCAAATATTTCTTGTGAATAAGGAAAGGGTATTGTCGCTTTTATTTAAAGTAAAAACAATACAATAAGTGTAAGTGGATAAGTTGGCTGTTCATTTATTCATTCATTTAAGAATAAAAGAGAAATCATTATTTGTCAAGTGATGTTATTGTTGGTATAAAAATGTTCGTTTAGCAACCATAAAGTAGTGGCAACTTGTTCATTTAGCAACTTTTAATATAAGTAGTGTTTACATAGTTGACCTACATTAATGAATACTTTTAGTATACCTCCCACTCGACATTTTACCTTCGATATAAAATTGGACAGGTAATGTGCATCACAACTTGATTGATTGTAGATGAATTTGAGGCCCGGAAATCTTTTTCTTGATAAGTGCCAACGCAAATTCGAAAAACGTGTTATCGGTATGGCGAAACATATATCACACAATGATTATTGCATTTGGTTATTAAAATATTTATAGCTGATTTTTATCTGCATTCTGCTAGCTATGCGGATTCAGTTTATCTTAGGCAGGTGACGTCATCCAAGGCACAGTGACGTCACAGCATATATAATGACGACACGTATGTCTCACAGCTGTATTAGCACACTACAAAGAGTACTGCTGAAAATTACTAGCAATTTATGCATAGACGTAACCGAGTTGTGTTGTCCCTTTTCGGTTGTTGTATTCGGCGCGATTACACCGTCAGTTTCAATGGAATATCCAGGACGAAAATACCCAATTTCACTATAAATATCACGAGACGGGTCATGTTGATTTCTTAATCAGGTAATCAATGACTTTCAGTGTAATGGTTTATTTTCTAATGAGTCTTGATGGTAGATCTCAATTTTGGACCTCAGGAGATACGAACCCAATATTCCAAAGAGTAGATCCTAATATTAGAAAGATGACGATAAAAAACAGTTTAGTACACATTCTAAAACGATGTTATCCGTGAACTAATTCGGGTGTATGTTTTGACAGATAATATAGCACTCGACAAACAAACATCAGCCAGTAGCAGCTATTACCCACCTGGCAATGCTGTAAATGGGATAAAAACTGGTGTTAGCGGCAGTCTAACATGCATGCATACAGACTACACTGATGCTGGGATAAAAGCTGCATGGTGGAGATTGGATCTGGGACAGACAACGCTGATACATGACGTCATCATTTACTTCAGGAAACAGTGTGAGTAGAACACACTACTTCCTGTTTATGTTTGTAACGGGAGTAAAGTCTAGTTACAGCCATTGAAGTTTATTACAATGTTAAATAAAGCTGTGAATAATGGCAGAAAAATAATTATAGTGTTGACCAATCATAGTTCATTTCACGAAATGAACTGTCGCAGTACAATATTTACCCAGTTTATAATACATTTGTCTGTCTTTAAATATTGGACTTGAAATAATAAAACCCACAAATGGATTCAGATCATTACTTCTGATATTGCAGTTAAAATCGATGCTGGCTTCTGAACAACGAAACATACATGTATGTTATTAGCAACTAAGTCTAGATAGATATGTTTCTAATTATTGTGATGATATGAATGAACATGTGCGTGAGCACCTTTTTCTTCCGGCTCCCTCTACATCACTCTGACACACACGCGACGAGGTTGATTATGTTGAGTGAGTGAGTGAGTGTGTGAGTTGAGTTTAACGCCGCTGTTAACAATATTCCAGTTATATCACGGCGTGTCAGCTTAATGTGGGAGGAAAGCCCGAAGTAATGCAGGTCTCAGACATTTACCACTTCGGTGAAACCCACGAGCACGGGTTTGGTGCTGACAAACCTAGAAACATAATCGGAGTGAACCGGGATTCGAAACTATAATCATAGGTTTCTGGCGTGCACAGGGGACGCAACTCTGCATAGCGAATCGCGGAGCCTTTGACGACTGGGCCACCCGTGCCCCCTTGATATGTTCAGACGTTTTATGTTTTTATACGTCACTTATTAAGGTACCATTTAGAATGATTTGTGACCACACTTACAACATTTCATGAGACGTGTTCAGAGGGTCTGCTTCACTTATTTCGTGAACACAGACGGATACAACTTCTGTAGCCATTTGACAATAGTTGATAGAGTGTGGCGGAACTATTCGCAGAAGTGAGTATTGTTGCGGGAATTAATGGTGGATCAGTGAACGGACATCGAGGGTAGATACCATACAATCCTTAGTCTTAATAAATGGGTCTTACATTGACACAGATATTTGTTGGTCATCCCACTAATTGGATTTCATTTCTATCAAAATTGATGTGTAATTGGTTGATGAATTAATAGCAACAAAGCTCCACGCAGGCAGGGGAGAGGGATCATGTCAGACAGCGTTAGGTTTTAATTCAGGCCGATTGACCTTAATTAATATAATTCCGATATATTACAATTCGATATATAAATTTTGACATTTCTATGGCATGCAAATACGAAACATGCTTATTGATTTGCAAACAGATATAGTTCGTCGGAATGGTATCCAGATTTACATAGCTGAAACTACCACCACCCAACCTGCCGGAGTCAGCTGCTACAACGTAACAGGGAACAGAAACGGAACAGACATACCTGATGTTTTGAACGCCACGTGTTCTGGTGAAGGACGCTATCTTGTCCTGTACACCACCACTGTAAACAACGAAATCAACAACGTCAGCGTACCTGTCATGGATTTCTGTGAAGTGGAGGTTGATGGTGGGAGTAATGTGTTACAATACATTTTAAAATTCACTGATTTATAATACATAAATTGTAGCTAAACAAAACATATTAACCAAAATTACCAAAAGTTTCACTGAAACATATCATTGTCAAATAATTAACATCAAATCCCTCATTGTACGTTTTAGGGGCAGTCGGGTAACCTAGTTGTTAAAGCTTTCGCTCGTCACGCCGAAGACCCGGGTTCGAATCCCGACATGGGTACAATGTGTGAAGCCAATTTCTGGTGCCCCCGCCGTGATATTGCTGTAATATTTCTAAAAGCGGCGTAAAACCATACTCACTCACTCACTTATTGTACCTTTTAAGCACCAGTACCAAATGTGCGTGAATGCTTTTACAATAGGACCTTTGAATTCAAATATGCAATTCATGTACTGCCTTCAACAGTATGTGGTAATGGTACTTTCGGTGCTGACTGTGACAACTACTGCCACTGTGACGGTGCGGTGTGCGACTACGTGAGCGGCGTCTGCCCGAGTGGAGTCTGTCTACCAGGCTGGCAACCAAACAAGTGTGACACAGGTTTGTAGTTGAGTCCGTTACCATTTCTTACATCTTTCAAAGTAAATATACGTTCAACGTCGTTAAAGTGTCTGTGTTTTGAATACAACCTGCTTCACAGCAATCCAAGAAAGGAGGTTGTCAGAAATGAATATATAACTCTTTCAGTTAAGGGGGCACGGGTGACCCAGTCGTCTAAGGCGCCACGATTCGCTGTGCATAGTTGCGTCCCTTGGGCACGCCAGAAACCTGTGATTTTGGGTTCGAATCCCGGTTCGCAACGATTATGTTTCTTGGTTTGTCAGCACCATACCAGTGAACGTGGGTTTCACCGAACTGGTAAACCTCTGAGACCTGCATCATTTCGGGCTTTCCTCCCTCGCTGACACGCCGCGATCTAACTGGAATAATGTTAAACCCAACTCACTCACTCACTTTCAGTTGACTTGAAAAAACTTCATGTTTTCAGCGTGTACCTTGGGAAATTATGGAAGAAACTGTTATCAGACGTGCTCTGATAGAAACTGCAAGGGCGACAACTCTAGCTGTGACAGTGCCACGGGGCAGTGCGTTGGTGGCTGCAGGACAGGATGGAACGGAACAGACTGTACACAGAGTAAGATCCGATCTCAATTAGCCTCTCTACAAATAACTAACCCTGGTCAATCATGTTGGAATTACCGCCAGGTATCTCAACCAAGTCGATCCACATAACCACAGAGGAGACCGCCTCCGTGGTCAAGTGGTAGAGCGTCCGCCTGGGGTTCGATCCCCAGCCGCGTCATACCAAAAGACGTTAAAAGATGGTACTTTTTGTAACCCTGTCTGGCGCTCGGCATTAATGGGCTAAAACAAGGACTGGTCGGCTCGGTGTCAGTATACTGTGTCTGAGTGGGGTATTCATGTTAAACTGCGACATGGTATCTCAGTGAGCTAGCACTATAAATCGGCATCAGTCCGGTCTAGTACAAGCAGTAACACAAAACACACACACACATACATGCACGTCGCTATATAAGTGCAATAATCTTGGACGCGACGTTAAACCCCATTTCACCTCACCACCGCAGAGATAGTTCATCTGATCAATGTCCCTAAGTTTCTCTTGTGCTAGTGCATTTATCAAATCGTTTCAGAATGCATGTCTACCTACGGAGACGACTGTGCCAACATGTGCTCTGCCAGAAACTGCAGCGGAGCCTCGTCATCCGTGTGTGATCATGTAACCGGGATGTGTGACAAGGGCTGCAGCCCGGGGTGGAAGGACACTGACTGCACGAAAGGTCAGATATACGATCTTTGGTTTTTAAATACCCCTTTCTAGTGAACCCTTGCCATACTGTTTACGTCAATGGGAGCATGAGAGTAATTTCCGGTTGGTGAATAAGAATATAAATGGCCGAGAACTTGTGACGAGGTGATTACAAAATGGACACACAAAGGTTATCTGAGAACCAGCCCCATCCCGAAACCTCAACAACAGGGGCAGACAACTCCAAATTCGTCTCAAGTCTCAAATGCCACCATTGACCCAAAATACTTTTATGGAAAACATTTGAAATCTACTCCAGAACTCTCTGCCCCTAGTATACGGTTCTTGTGTGTACTATGTAAGCCCCACTTGCGTGATGCACGTGTAATCTGCTGCTGATACATGTATGTTCAGCTCTGTTGCGAGTTTCTCTTTACAATACATGGTGTGGGTGAGGGGAAATGTGGATTAACGTCGCGTCAGAGATTATTGCACTTATATAGCGACGTGCAGGCACGTGTGTGTGTGCGCGCGCTTGTGTGTGTGTCTGCTTGTTCTAGCCCCTTTATGCCCAGCGCCAGACATTGTAATAAGAAGTACCATCTTTGAACGCCTTCCGCTCTCCGGGCGGACGCTCTACCACCAGAGTGAGTCAGTTGCGTTGAACGCCGCTTTCAACAGTATTCCAGTTATATCACGGCGTGTCAGCTTAATGTGGACGGAAAGCCCGAAGTGATGCAGGTCTCAGACGTTTACCACTTCGGTGAAACCCACGAGCACCGGTACGGTGCTGACAAACCAAGAAACATTTCTGGCGTGCCATAGGGACGCAACTCTGCACAGCTAATCGCGGCGCCTTAGACGACTGGGCCACCCGTGCCCCTGCTCTACCACCAGACCACGGAGGCGGTCTCAATGATATAAGGTTCTTTACAATTCCATCATTCACATGAGTGTCAAAACCAAAGATACATCGGTGACTTCCAAATGTACAGTAAATGCAATATGAAGGCATGAAATGGTAACGACTAGCTTTCCATTCGTGTACTAGGTATAAAGGATCGTTTCACCAATAGTGACGTCACAAGGTGTTTTAAGTAGTCTAAAACATAGACGACATAGTGTTTATGCAATTGTTAATAGAGGGTCGCGAAGACGCAAGCCAAGTTAATCCCATATACTGTCAAGGATGGCTAAAGGTAATTTCTTTGCAAGCAGAATGCGTCCAGGGTTTAGAGTACGGATCTGGCTGTGTGGGTAACTGCAGTGCACGGAAGTGCACGGGGGGCTCGGGAACCTGTCCCAAAGATGCAGGACGATGTGATTCTGGCTGTCAGTTGGGGTGGCAGGGAGAAGACTGTGCACGTGGTAAGTGACAAGAACTGATTTTGTCAAACCTCCTGTGAATGAAACGTTGTGAATGAAAACATCTGGCCTGTCACTTAAGGAATCAAGCACGTGCATTACATCTATACAAAGAGACATGTGGATGCTATAGTATAATTGTTTAGCGAGCCTGACCATCCGATCCCGTTAGTCGCCTCTTACAACAAGCATTGGCTGCTGAAGACCATTCTACCCCGGATCTTGACGGGTCCGACCCGTAAATTTTGATAGCTGTATGATGTACATTGTTATCTATAATTAATTGCAAGTGATGCTCATTACATATGTCTAACGACACCTACATCCTTAGTAGTGTCATTGGGAATTCGAAGTTACATGTCATATGAAGATCTCAATTTACTAATATTTCAGTATGTAGTCTTGGTACATTCGGTGTCAACTGTACTGGAAAATGTGGCCAGTGTCTTGACATCAGCAAATGTCACCATGAAAACGGAAGCTGCCTTACAGGATGCAGTGAAGGGTGGACTAACCACACATGTACACAAAGTAGGTTCTTCAACGTTATTGTGCAGTCGTCTTTGTAACATTTTATCACCTGGACAATTATTCCATCATGTAAGGTATTTTGGGGTGTTCTTTGTTTGCATTCAGCAATATTCCAGCTATATGACGGCGGTCTGTAAATAATCGAGTCTGGACCAGACAATCCAGGGATTGACATCATGAGCATATGTTTATCATATTCATGACACATTTGATCAGATTGATAATCATAAAATGTGTCTTAACATTCAGTTGTCTTTGAAGTACAAATATGCATTCTCGAATAGACATTGCAACCAAGAGGATGTTACTTAAAAAGATCGACATCTAGTTATTAATCATGTTTATATGTGTATGTTACATCACCTGAAATAATAAGCTCCTGTGTATTTTTCAAGTGACACACTTTTAGACAATTTTCATGATACAGTAAACAATAACCATTCACATGACAGCTGTAATCACGCGATGGATAATGCTGAAGATGTTATTATATCACCAGTTGACCCTTCTGTTCCAGAGCAGGTTGACGCATCAACGTCAGATGTAGGAGTCATAGCAGGCTCTGTAGCTGCCGTCATCATTGTAGCATCCATTGCTGTTGTCGTCATTGTCTTACTCAGGTACGAAGAAAATCTTGATACACCTAGTGAACTGTACGAAACAGTACCATGGTTTTACTTAACCATCAATACCAGTGAGGCAGTGTGGATAGTACCTAGTGATTGGACATATGACAGTCTTGAGTCTTCTGCAAAAGTTTACACACAGCAAAGGGAAAGGTGCTCTTGTTTCCATTGACACAACCTTCATAATCACATAATAAGTTCATTCGAATGACAAGTGTTTAGAGGCTCTTAAACAAGTACATTGATATATCAATATTATGCATAATTATATCAGTAAATGAGTGAGTGCTTATTGCTTAACGCCATTTCTTACAGAAATTCGTGGCGAATATCAATCACTGTATCTCATATCAAACATCACACCAAAATCACACTGTGGTGGATAGGAGGACCTGTATGTATTCTGATGCTTGTTTGTTTGTTTGTTTAACGCCGCGCTAAGCAATACTCCAGCTGTATGACGGCGGTCTGTAAATAATCGAGTCTAGACCAGACAATCCAGTGATTGATATCATGACCATCGACCCACGCAATTGGGATCAATGACATGCATCAACCAAGTCAGCGAGCCTGACCACCCGATCCCGTTAGTCCCCCCTACAGCCAGTATGGGTTGCTGAGGTATGTATTCTGATTCGACAGTTAGACCAATACCTTGATTTGAACTCTTTTCATTGAGCAATAACTGTTCTGGACCTTCATGCACAATACATTGTACTAACGCAAACCACTCTTATTTGAAGAAGACGGAGAAGTCAAAATTCAAAGGAAACAGATAAGCACGCAGATGTGTTCCAAGAGCAGGCAGGTTTGTATAAGGAAATACAGCACACAATAATCACCTGCCTTGGTGCAGAGTAAAGTGACCTGTATCCACCCTATGCAATGTAATGATTGTGTTAATGATTCAACTTCCCTTAAGCCAAGTAATAGATAATATATTTGCATAACTGAGTCCTCTGACTTCCGTTCAATGCGTCCATCACTTAGCTTCTTCTCATTTCAGCAAATTGGGGCACGGGTAACCCAGTCGTCTAAGGCGCCGCGATTCGCTGTGCAGAGTCGCGTCCCTTGGGCACGCCAGAAACCTATGATTGTGGGTTCGAATCCCGGTTCGCCCCGATTATGTTTCTAGGTTTGTCACCATACCCGTGCTCGTGGGTTTCACCGAAGTGGTAAACGTCTGAGACCTGCATCACTTCGGCTTTCCTCCCACATTAAGCTGACACGCCGTGATATAACTGGAATACTGTTAAAAGCGGCGTTAAACCCAACTCACTCACTCATTTCAGCAACTGAGGACATGGAGATGGTCAACCCTTTGTATGCCAGTGCTTTTGAGGCGGACGAGGACGACGTAGAGGAGGACCACAATGACACGTACTATAACATAGCCAGTGCTCCTGCAATAACCTTGGTGTCTGTCGAGCAGCTTGGAGAGCGGATCAAACAGCTGCAGGTGCCGGTCGGGGGATTCCAGGCAGAATATCAGGTATGAACGTTAATAGAAGAGAAATTCCTCAGATGAAACCATGCATTGTGTTATCCTTACAGGTTGTTTAGAAATAAATGTTTCAGTGAGTTTGAAGTATGTAGCTTATATTGGAGCTACGATAATGTATTAACTAGTGGTCTGAGCTCCCATACAACACCTTGGTAGTTTCATTCAAACTTTATATAATTTCATTTTACGGTACTTACCAACTTTATACACCATGATAATTAATATTTTCTTTATGAATAAATCCTGTTCCCCGATATGCATTGATGTATTTCAGAAACTATCTACTACCTTCACCCGTTCTTACAAAGACTCTCAGCTGGAGGAAAACAATGGGAAAAACAGATTTCTTAATTATTACCCATGTAAGTCTTACTCTGTATTCTCAGACAGTGACATAATAGCCAATAGCCTAATAGTGTTACAGATATTAATATGTCTAAATACTCGTAATGACAATAGATATGGTATATAACATTGTTTTAATGGCATTTCAGCCTATAACGGTAGACATTATGACAAGTCCATATGTTGTCGAGTCAAGCAGAGATATCGATGAGTCCATGTGTTGTCGAGTCAAGCAGAGATATCGATGAGTCCATATGTTGTCGAGTCAAGCAGAGATATCGATGAGTCCATATGTTGTCGAGTCAAGCAGAGATATCAATAAGTCCATATTTTGTCGAGTCAAGCAGAGATATCGATGAGTCCATATTTTGTCGAGTCAAGCAGAGATATCGATGAGTCAATATGTTGTCGAGTCAAGCAGAGATATTGATGAGTCCATGTGTTGTCGAGTCAAGCAGAGATATTGATGAGTCCATATGTTGTCGAGTCAAGCAGAGATATTGATGAGTCCATATGTTGTCGAGTCAAGCAGAGATATCAATAAGTCCATATTTTGTCGAGTCAAGCAGAGATATCGATGAGTCCATATGTTGTCGTGTCAAGCAGAGATATCGATGAGTCCATATGTTGTCGAGTCAAGCAGAGATATCGATGAGTCCATATGTTGTCGAGTCAAGCAGAGATATCGATGAGTCCATATGTTGTCGAGTCAAGCAGAGATATTGATGAGTCCAAATGTTGTCGAGTCAAGCAGAGATATCGATGAGTCCATATGTTGTCGAGTCAAGCAGAGATATCGATGAGTCCATATGTTGTCGAGTCAAGCAGAGATATTGATGAGTCCATATGTTGTCGAGTCAAGCAGAGATATCGATGAGTCCATATGTTGTCGAGTCAAGCAGAGATATCGATGAGTCCATATGTTGTCGAGTCAAGCAGAGATATCAATAAGTCCATATGTTGTCGAGTCAAGCAGAGATATTGATGAGTCCATATGTTGTCGAGTCAAGCAGAGATATCGATGAGTCCATATGTTGTCGAGTCAAGCAGAGATATCGATGAGTCCATATGTTGTCGAGTCAAGCAGAGATATCGATGAGTCCATATGTTGTCGAGTCAAGCAGAGATATTGATGAGTCCATATGTTGGACTCGGGGAAACATTTAGTGAGTGGGCGAGCTGGTTTGTACTACGCGTTTTGCAGTATACCATACATATCGAGGCGGGACACCAGGAAGGTGCTTCACACTTAGTATGCAAGATGAAGGGAACACTCAAGCAATACCTGCATGCTACGTCAGAGCCGATTTTAAGAGGGGTGTACTTGCGGTTATGTATACATCAATGGCCCGCCTTGTATCATACACGTCTGAAACACAACATATAAACACTCGTTCATCTGTGAAGATCCGGGTTAAAACAGAGGCAAGGAGGTAAGAACTATGTTGGGCCGACCTTGTCTTACTGAGTAAATCCCGAGTTTTATGGCTGTCTAGTTAGACCTGAGATTTTCTATCCTGTTTATGAATATACTCGTCCGAGCAAAGGGGAAAACTCCGTAGGACAATGGCATGATGTCAATTGTTTTTATACAAGGTCATCGGAACCAATCAGCTGAACTTATTTTGCGTACATTTCTTATGCATCGCTTCCCTTTCTGCCAGGACACGTGGCGGTATCAAAAGTGTTGAGCCAAGCATACATAGTGCTGTAATATTGTCGTGAGCGTTAACTATTTTTTCGCCCGAGTGCCCTTGCAGTTCAATACACTGTCATATGTTTTCTCCCGACCAGTTATCCCAATTCGTGTTCTTTATTTAATCCTGAGCACTTTTGATAATCACTAGGGGCCAGATATTTAAAATACGGTGTTTGGAGTAGAGCACCCATTGAACATGACACTGAACCTTTTAGTGTTGTTCCCCGTAATAAATAATCCAGTGGTGTTATGTATTTGCTGTCCCAAATACATGACCATAACTTTCTTAGTGGATCTGCTTGCTTTACACGTCTTGATTTTGAAACACAAAACCTGTCCAATCCATGGATTCTTGTTTGCTTCTAATAATCTGTCACAGGCCTAAAATGAAAATGTGGGTAAACGGGGTAAAGGGCATTAGAGGTGGTGACCACGTAGCTGTTTTTCATCAGATAGCAATCTAGGAGCCCTTCGTGCAGACACATTTGACATATGTAGATGTTCATGAAGGAATACTTACGCTTTCCCCGAACACCTGGTGCCATCACAGCTTTTCACCATTATTTTGCCTTTTGCGCCCACAGGGCTCAGTCTCGGCGGAGAATGGAGGTCACACTCTAGCCTTGACCAGGCTATATTTATTGTAACAAATTAGAAGCATGTGGCTCCTCAAACTCAGGTAATGAGGCTTTTGTTCAGCACCAGGTTGTTGACGGCGTTTTCCTGTTTGGGTTGCTGGCGGTGGATCGAGCAAATCTTGGGACGTCTTCCACCCCCCCACGTGCACCCCCACCCCCCCCCCCCCCCCACCCCCCCCCCCCCCACCCCCCACCCCCCCCCCCACCCCCACGCTAGCCCACTCCCCCAAGCTGAAAAGTTGGGTTTTATGATGGGGCAGCATATACAACCTGCATCAATTCGTCAATGCTCTTTTTTTTACCCTCCAGTTTGTTAACTGCTCTGTTGCATTTCAAAGTCGCTTATTTGAGAAAGCATAATAAAACACCCTAGAGATATCATAACGTTTTTAGCCTGGTATCACCTCCATTATAGAAACACTAAAGAACATTTCGAAAACACGCACGACACGATTCTTGAGATACACTCTTCAATTTATTTTCTCATGAGCCCAAAGGCCGAATCAGATCTTCCATCAAAGTGCGTTAATAAAATAAACACCTGAGCCTGAACACATACTATTATTGAAGATGTAACTTTCAGTACAGACAAACGCGCTGCTGACTTAAGTAGTTACACTGAGTGTTTAGTTGCATTTATCTTCTGTTCAATATTGATCCTGCCATATCGTGTTCAACTTTGTGAATACATAATAAGGGCTTGCAAAAGTTATGATAAGAACATGCAAATCAACATGTTAAATACATTCCGCTCAACCGATGTTAGATTCTCGCCCCCTGAAGATCCGGGGTAGAATAGGTCTTCAAAATGGGGACTATGCTTGTCGTAAGAGGCGACTAACGGGATCGGGTGGTCTGGCTCGTTGGCTGACTTGTTTGATGCATGTCATCGTATTCCGATTGCGTGGATCGATGTGCATGTCATCAATCGCTGAATTGTCTGGTCCAGACTCGAGTATTTACAGACCGCCGTCATATAGCTGGATTAAACATATAGTGCGGGGTTAAACAACAAACAAACATTCTCGCTGTTCTGCTCTCTCCTTCAGAACAGAAGAAGTCTCTGTTCATGGCCATGCCTCCTGTATTGCAGATGATGACACCCGGGTCGTGTTGCAGGAGCTACCGGACGAGCCTGGGTCTGATTACATAAATGCCAGCTACATCAATGTTTGTATAACTAGGATTTACTTTCGAACTATTATTATCTTTCACTTTTAATGCTATTGGTCGTCGGTAAGTGCTATACAACGTAGTGTTGGTATTTTATGTGTGAAACTTTTATAACATTGTTTCAGGGCTACTCTCAACTTAAAGCCTACATAGCATCGCAAGGTATGTTCCCCTGTTTATTTCGGATGGACAGTTGTCTTGTTTGTGGATTTGTTTGTTCGTGGTGCCACAAGTGGGACAGTACACGATCACCGTATCGCGAACCCCTGGTGTCATCAGTATTTGATAGCACATACTCATGACATTCGAAATCGTTCAATCAATTCTGCTTTTAGCAGAGATTCATTGTGGCTATGGAAAGGCTTTGTCGCCTTTATTCTTATCTAATCACTTGACTGTTTCCATATATCATACAATGGCATCTATGGTAGCCGACCTCAGATAACGTCAGCTGCTATTAAATTAGCTACGTACCTAATACCATTTCCATCTAAACGGTATCGCAGTATCAACTCCTCATCGTTGTATTCAACAAGACTTTGTCTTCTTTGATGAAACGAACGACGACCTAGCGGTACGGCAGCCATTTTGTTTACTGACTTAAGTCAAACAATTGTAGTTAAGCCTACCCCTACCCAGTCTTAGGATTTAAGTCAGAAATTGGTAAAACTTAAGAATAAGTCGCTACATGAATATGACTTAAGTCAAATCTTAAAACTTAAGTCAGAATAGGTAAAAAACTTAGTTTTTTTCAAGACTTAAGGTTTTTTTCAGACTTAAGTTCTTCTATGAATACCGCCCCTGATATATTTAGTTGCCCTTAAGCTATACTGGTAATATCTAAGAGTCAAATAAATCGTCTTCTATATTCACCCTTTAGCTCCAAACAAGAAGACCCTCACTGATTTCTGGAGGCTGATCTGGGAACAGAACTGTACAAGGATCGTCATGTTGACTAATCTCAAGGAGTTGGGGAAGGTCAGTATAACACAATTTCCTTGACGAGCTCAGAGTAAACAGATCCTTCGTGCCAATAGTAAGTTTAGGTTTGATCATAACTACAGTAAACAGTGTTCAATAATTATGATGGTTAACGGATGCAAGGGTGAACTAATTTCATAAATTAATTTTGAGTGTTCGGACATAATTTAGGTTCATCTGAATTTGTGCAACGAGCAATTATTAAGAACACCACAACATTTCAAAATTAATGTCAGGTGAAGTGTGAAGCATACTGGTCGGACACAAAGGATCTGACGGTTGGGGACTTCAACATTGTTGTCACCAGCTCAAGGGAGCGAGCACATTGGGTCGTGAGAGAATTACAAGTTACAGAGAAAAAGGTAAATATATACCCACCTTTCTTCATGTATATGATTGCTGAATAATAGGAATATGGTTATGTCGCTACAGGCTACACGACCGAAATAGTGTATTCAGGATTATGTACAGCACTAGCAGTGAGCATTAATGGCTAGTATTACATCCCAGTTTTGTTGAAAATGTGTTATGTGTCTGTCTCTATCTACATAACATGATCTTGAAATGAAACTATTTTATATGCTCTAAGACAAGCACTTGTCGATGCTTCCATCAATTCCACTTTACAACATGGCCGGATCATGGAACACCCGAGGAGACGTCCTTGACTGAGTTTCTGTGGCTGATCAGGACAACACCTAACACTCAGGATGACCCTCTGCTAGTGCACTGCAGGTAGGCAACTTGAAAACAGGTTCACTGGTTTGACTCCGAGTCACAATTTCAGGGCGGTACCATCTTAGCCAACCCACATGCTAGATGTAACGGCATATACACAAATATTATCTCCTTATTCTTTTTATTGGTAATATTTACCATATTTGTTATTGTAATCAAACGTAGTTTTCATGAACAGTGAGGGGCGCGGGTGGCCCAGTCGTCTAAGGCGCCGCGATTCGCTGTGCAGAGTTGCGTCCCTTGGCACGCCAGAAACCTATGATTGTGGGTTCGAATCCCGGTTCGCCCAGATTATGTTCCTAGGTTTGTCAGCACCATACCCGTGGTTAAACGTCTGAGACCTGCATCACTTCGGGCTTCCCTCCCACATTAAGCTGACACGCCGTGATATAACTGGAATACTGTTAAAAGCGGCGTTAAAACTCAACTCACTCACTTACTCACTCACTCATGAACAGTGTATAATTAAAATGGTGCAGACACATGGATTGCATTAACAATTAGTGAAATTATTACATCAGTGCTGGGATCGGCCGGACAGGAACCTACATTGCTGTGGACTACCTGCTGGACCAGGCTCTTGCTGATCAGAAGGTGGATGTGTTTGGTTGTGTCTCAGTAATGAGAGACCAAAGGAAGGGCATGATACAGACCAAGGTGAGACGTTTCATCTCAAAGAGCTTGGTTTTCTTTGGCACTGATGTTCTATAAAACAAACCGGCCTTGTAGAAAAACATGTTATTTCTAAGCCTCCCCATTCTTCAAACTCATGAATGTCAACGGTTGTTTCATGAATACCTCAGGATCAATACACGTGTGTTTACACGACTTTGCACGAGGCTCTGGAGTTTGGAAACACAGCCATGGATGTGCACGAGTTCAATCAGAATCGAAATTGGAAAAGGTCGTTCAAGATGGGACGCATGGAACTCACACAGTTAATACAGGTAGAAAAAAAACACTAAATGTTGGTAACACCCTGCAGTACTATATTTATATGTGTCCATGTACTGGTAAGGACTCATGCCTTTCTCAACATGTTTTAGATCCTGAATATTAACAGAGAGATTTCAAGAAAAGGTAAGTAAATTCAGCATTGCAGATACATACTACATTGTTTACAACAGTCAGCTCTTATATTAGATACCATCGATGCATTAACTCTTGACACACTGATATGTTGCTAACTAAAACTTACTCCAGTTTCTCTTCGTCCATTGATCAACTGTTGTTGCAGAAGCCAAGGTGAAGGGTCGGGTGAACGTAAATGGACGTTCAGACATCCAAGCTGTACTCTCACAGGTAAGCGTTTCAGCTGTGTATGGCCCTGAAGTAGGACATTTGACATGTTCGGTATGTAATTCATCGACATCTTTGTAAATTTGTTTCTTCCATTTATGTCCGCCACGATACAAGCACACTGTTTCTGTGCCAGTTCATTCTGAATGAGATATATCTGACACACACAGGGATGCTTTGCAGTTATACCAAGTATGTGGTGGTATCTTTACAATCTCTTACAAAGACAACCATGGCCCCTGACTGCAGTGCAGTTAATTTAACAAAATAGATGTAAATCGTGATTCATACTAGGTAGGATAATTGCCAGTGGCATTGCTATGTGATGTAGACTTCACAAGACTTTAGAACTTTGTGAGCTGTCGCGAACACCTGGTATCATCGGTACTACAGAGCGATTCCTAAACACATATTAATAATATAATTGGAATCGTATAACAGACTTGTGAATGTGGAAAGCGCCTGGTCACTTATATTTTAATGCATGGTGACCTTTGTATAGAGCAATAGATCAAACAATACTATAATCCCTCTTTTACCAGGCGAATTGCATATAATTGTCTGTTTGTTGTTTCAAGCCGCACGCGGCAACATTTCAGCTGTATAAGAGCGGTCTGTAATTATTCGTGTCAGGGCCAGGCAATCCCGTGATTTACAGATTCAGTATTGATCCACGCAATTTGGATACAAAAACGTGTCCAAGTCTGATCACCCTATCCCTTTAGTCGCCTACGAAAATATTAGGTTGCTCGGACCAATATTCTAACAAATAATCGCCACGGGAAGATTTGTGCATGATCATCTGGAGAGGAATCTTCAAAATGTTATATTACAATAGTCTATTGAAAGTGTTCCTCCTTCAGTCCCGACTGTCAATGAAAGGCTATCTGTTGACCGTTGCTCCCTCCGTCACCCCGGCGTCTCTTTTCTGGAAACTTACAGACCAGCAGGAGTCTTCCATTGTCATTGTCCTGCCGGGCTCGCACCAGGTGAGTGGTTGTCTCTCACCTGGAACTATGTATTGGAGAAAACACGCTCATGAGGTTTTGGTAGACAGAGCATGCCCTGGGGAGAGGGAAAACCCGAGGGAAAGTGTTTTTCCATGCTTATAAACCGAAGAAAGAAACTTAAAACAACATTTATCAACATTTTAATGTTTCGAACATACTTTCCATGAACCTTAGAAAACGCGTGTAAAATATCTGTTGCTGGCGTACGGATCTTGAAAAGGACATTCTAAAAACCAGTTAGGCTTATCAACAACTCTGTAGCCTCGTGGTACACTCACTGGGATACAGAAGGTTGCGAGTTCGATCCTCGGGAATATAAAGAAAACATTTGTCATTTGATTTTACATTTCATTACATGTTACAATCTGAACGGAAGTTATATTAATAAAATACCCAGGACATTATATAAAATCCCTGGGATATTATATAAAATCCCAGGGACATTACAACGTCCCTGTTTATGAGATTTAACCCGACTGGAAAGTAAAACCTCACAATAGGTTTTAATGCCTACAGAAAGAAGTCTCTTACTTAATAGCGATCCCAATGAATAGGTTTATAAGTTTCTTGAACTAATTGACAATATTGAGCAAGGTTTCAAATCAACCAATGACGTTTCTTTCAGAGTTTGACAAGTTTTGTGCCATCCCCAGGAGACAGCCTGGACCTGAGTCCAGGTAGCGTGAGATGTTCAACAGATAACACCATCAACCCTGACATAGTCCTGAGGAACATCCACAGGCAGATTGACGTAGGCCTTTATTATAATTATGTCTTTTCCGTACCCTGTCCCCAACGGAAGGGGAGACATATTGGTTTGGCTCGGTTCCAGCTGGCGTTGGTGTCGGCTTCCCCATGCTATTCCGAGCCATAACCTGAAAACCGTCCAATGTTTTTCAACGAAACTGGGCATATTTATTGCTCATCAGTTTAACTGGTGCTTTCTGCTAATTTTAATTTTTTTCTTCTAAATTTATTTTCTAATGTTTTATGGGCACAATTCCAACTTAGTCTCAAGCAACTCCAAAAGCCTTGCCTTTCAAACTGATGAATATTTTTGCTTCAAACTATACATGTGCCATGACCACATGCTCAACTTTGGCCTTTTCATACTTTTCAGTGTTAATGTTTCTGGTAATTTCTCGTGTTACCATAAAAACGATTTGGACTTAGTCTCAAACAACTAGAGTTTGTTTCCCGCCAAAACCATACAGCTATTGAATATTTCTGCATAAAAAAAACATTATCTTTTCAGGCTATAATTTGCTACTATTGTTTTTCGGATTTGATTTTTTGTTTGTTTGTTGTTTAACGCCGCACTCAGCAATATTCCAGCTATATGACGGCGGTCTGTAAATAATCGAGTCTGGACCAGACAATCCAGAGATTGATATCATGAGCATCGATCCACGCAATTGGGATCGATGAAATGCATCAACCAAGGCAGCGAGCCTGACCACCCGATCCCGTTAGTCGCCTTTTGCGACAAGCAGAGTCACCTTTAACGGCAAGCATGGGTTGCTGAAGACCTATTGTATCCCGGAATCTTCACGGGTCTTTTCGGATTTGATTTTGAACTAAAGTATCAAAAAAGGAGGGCGGAGACATCTGTTTTTATGAGTCAGGAAAAACACATTCTAGTTCATTAAAGGCTTTAATGGGGTAGCCTAGTGGTTAAAGCGTTCGCTCGTCACGACGAAGGCCCGGGTTCGATTCCACACATGGGTACAATTTCTGGTGTCACCCGCCGTGGTATTTCTCGAATATTGCTGAAAGCGGCGTAAGACCATACTCCCGCATTCTAGTTTATAGCTGTAATGTGTAGATGTTCTATTAATATCGTGGCTTGTTTGATAATTATGTAACATTACCGGTATTGTATACGAGATGAATATAACGATACGTCATTCTCATAATTAACTGTTGACCAGAACCTTCCCCCAGCTTTAGTACGTGTGTACATCGTGAACCAGTGTCCAGTAGACTCCCACTCCACACTGCTAGAACTCCTGGAACAAGTGGATCTTCACACGAGTGGGGGTGGCTCCCAACCGGTTACTATCATCTACAGGTACACGTACGATCTGTTTGTACTGTTGCAATTTCAGCTACTTTCGTTTATGCTTTAAACTCCTATTTAACATTTTTTTGTCACCGTATGATGATTCGCCACAGTGAGTTTCCTTAGTTTCCTTACATTTGGTGTTCCATAGGATGAAAGTGATCCCTCGTAATTGTTCCATGTTATCATTTGACGGTAAGGGTAGCTAGGGGGTGGTGAGATCCCGTCATACAAAGTTGTACAGAGGGGCTTTCCTTGTAAGGTGGTGAAGTGAAATGGGGTTTAACGTCGCGTCTAAGATTATTGCACTTATATAGCACTTATATAGCGACGTGAATGTACTTGTGTGTTTTTTATTGTGGCTGCTTGTACTAGTCCGGACTGATGCCGATTTATAGTGCTAGCTCACTGAGATACCATGACGCAGTTTAACATGAATACCCCACTCAGACACAGTATACTGACTCCGAGCCGACCAGTCCTTGTTTTAGCCCCTTAATGCCGAGCGCCAGACAGGGTAACAACAAGCACCATCTTTTAACGTCTTTTGGTATGACGCGGCTGGGGATCGAACCCCGGACCTTCCGCTCTCCGGGCGGACGCTCTACCACTAAGGACCACGGAGGCGGTCGCCATAGGATGAAAGTGATCCCTCGCAATTGTTACATATCATTTGGCGGTAAGGGTAGCTAGGGGGTGGTGAGATCCCGTACAAAGTTGTACACAGGGGCTTTCCTCACAAGGAAGACTTGTGAAAAGCCTGGGATGTAATGAAGCCGACTTATTCTGAAACTGCTTATTCTTTGTATATATTTGCAACAGTTAATTTACACATAATGTTCTGTTAAAGTGATTCTGGTACAAAGAGAGGTGTCATGCACTGCATCCTGAGCAATATTGTTCAAGGCCTGAAGCATGACAGAAGAGTTGAGATCTACAACAACATGAGAGCTATGGCCCACTTCCTTGATTCGGATATCACACAGGTATATTCACTGGGCTATGTCAGTGTCAGTATTTGAAATAACGTCCTAAGAAGTTAACTCAATTCAAAAAATTACACTCGTGAACTCTGAAGAACTTGCGTCAGAAGTGCAGGGTTGTATTCATATTCAAAATCAAGAAAAAACAACTGTGTGTCCAATACAGGGATATCAAAAGTCGACTCGAAACCTGACTGCATAGTAAAATTGCGTATGACATTGGCAATGAGCGTCAAATGTGTGCAAGATGACTGGGGTGAATGTGTCTGTCATGTGTGGAACAATTCTAGTGTTTAGCACACAATTGACGTTTTGGTCACAAGTAGGGATTTGGACACTTACAATTGGCGCTCAAATGCGCAGTCGGAAATTTGTTATTGCATACCCTATATGTTTGTCTTCACATAGGTCAATCGGGGTACGGCATATACGCCAGTTCTGATTATACGCCGACTGGGTTCTAATACGCCAATAAGTGGTTATTCTCGAACTGTTTATAGTGGACCTGTGCGTTTGAACTCCCATGATCCTTTTAATTGCTACATATGCCATGTGATCAATGCTTATTCCCAATCTGAAGTTGTATCAGTTTACAGGGTATAACTGTAAAGTTAGCAAAACAATAATTGTAAACAACCATGAGTCAGAATTATTTGTTTTTAAATTAAAAAATTATTTAAAATTATAAATTATAAAAAATATCATTACTCAATTGAAATACGTATGTATCGAAAAACCTTCTTTTCTATAGGAGGACGTGGCTCTTTGTTATGACGTAGCTTCGGCGTACGTGGAGTCCCAGAGCGTTTATGCAAACGTCTAACAAGCGCATTTGCGGTTGTCTCAACCGACAAACTCCAGACTCCACCTTACAGATCTGAAATGAAAGCAACAATAATTGCATTTTTGTTATAAATATATGAATAACTTGTTATCGTTATATGTATTGTTTCCCTTATTTACCATTTAAATTACTTGTGATTATAACTGTAAAACTATATATATTTCCATTACTTGTAAGTTAACGTTTTATGAAATCATTAATCCCCGATTCCTGATCGATAATAGAGAAGAGTGTTAAATGTATGTGTAGATTCTGTTCGGTACTTGTATTATTTACGAGTAGATGCGTTTTGTTTTTTCGTTCATAAGAGTGTTATACTGATTACATAGATACTGAAGGTCCAGCGTTTATTATACCTGGAGACATAACCTCGTAAAACGCATTGTATTATGTGGACGATAAATCCAGGAAGCACCCTTAAAATATGTACGAATTGTCAAATGTGTGTTTTTTGTCAATGCAAAATGTTAAATCCGATAAAAACCAAAGTGTCAAAATAATATAGAAGTTTTGGGTGTTCATACAGTATTTTTCTTGTCAATGTAGCTCTCACTGTTACTACTTAATTTCTTTCAGTTGTTCAATAATCATATTTGACATATATTTGTTTTTATTGATTTATGTATTCTGTTTGTTTTTATATTTGCCATAAAAATAAAAAGATATGTTTTCATTGATCATAGTTGCCTGTTGTTATCAACCCACAACGACATATACCGTGTTTGACACGTTGAATTTAAAAAAAATAAAAATAGTTTCTAACATCCATTACAGATTTATTGAACTGTTCAAGTTTGATGGTGCATACATTTCCAGTAGTACTGACAAATTTGAATTATTTTTTCAGAAAATACATTCTTTTTGGTTATTGCTAAAACCATCACTGATTTCGTAAAAAATAATAGCAAGTGAGTCCGTGGCATTTCGCGAGTAATATAGGCAATGCCTCGAGCTCCTAACCAAGAATACTTTCCTGATTGGCTGACAATAGAGGGGGTCGGTGAGTGTGCACACTTTGCATAAACCCGCTATATTTCCATAAACTCAAAAACTATGACTATGCGTGTCGTTAAAGACGACTAACGGGATCGGGTGGTCAGGCTCGATGCTCATGATATCAATCACTGGATTGTCTGGTCCAGACTCGATTATTTACAGACCGCTGCATATAGCTGGAATATGGCTGTGTGCGGCGTTAAACAACAAACGAACCAACTTTTCAAAACTGACGGTCAGCAAAATAGACCGTCTCGGACAGTCGGGTATTTTAAACCTGTTTATGCCTGATTTATCGTTGGATTGGGTTCACATCTTCCATCAATCCTGTGATTGTGGCACCTATCCTCAGGATAAAACACAGGTATAACCATCGCGTTTCGTCAACATAGGTATTAGAAAATGGACCTCTTCAAGGCTACTAATAATTGACTTAATTAAACAGGAAGGTTTTTTTTAATTCTATCAAACTGGCATTAGAGGTGCAGGGTGATAATCATTCAAAGAGAAGTTAAACAAGTGTGTGTCAAATTCAGCGGCATCTACCATTGACTCAAAACCTAAAAGGTCCAGTTCATTTGAATGGCAGATTTCAGTTATAAGTGTACAGCGGAAGTTGTGAATGACCTGAAGCTGTTTCAAAGAGATTAAAATAAAAAGTGAGTGAGTGAGTGAGTATGGTTTTACGCCGCTTTTAGCAATATTCCAGCAATATCACGCCGGGGGACGCCAGAAATAGACTTTACACATTGTACCCATGTCGGGAATCGAACCCGGGTCTTTGGCGTGACGAGCGAACGCTTTAACCACTAGGCTACCCGACCGCCCCTCTTATTTTATGACAGTTCACTAGCTTTTTACAAAATGTTATTTGTAACATGCATAAATTTATTTGAACCACAAAATGACGACTAAGAATATTAAAATAGTCATTTTGCTGGTTTTATGCCAAGTGCATCCCCCCTTTTCTAGTAATAGTTCTCTCACTATAATGAGGAAATCCTTGTTTTGGGTGAAATGTGGCATGTAATCTAACATCCTCAAATGTAGTTATTGCTACAACGAGAACTACCCTGAAAACTAATTTTCCGCTAAAGGTTGAGATATATACTTGCTTTATGAAAGGTGACAGTCACTTCTTTGTGTAATGTATCGTCACTTAGTCATCCCATTGTGGCTCACTAAGGCACCAGTGTGGTATCCTGCCGTTGACAGTAGGAGTACATAGTTGTTATTAAAATTGTTGATGCTGTTCACATCTCACTTAAAAACCTGGGATCGTTCTTTGTCGCATGTACCTACCTAATCAACGCTTATTTCCGTTATCTTAGAAGTGGAGTCAGCTCTCCAGTGATTAATGTATTGAAGAAAAACATTACGAAACTTCATCGCAAACCTTCTTGGCGCAAACCTGATTTATTCAAATTAACAAATGCTAAATTAAAATTGAATTTACTATTTATCTACAATTATTTTCATGAGATTGACGTTGCCTTTTTGCTACGATGTAGCTTCGGCGTATGCAGAGCTCCAATGCCTTACCTTCCAAACACCCCAAGCCTTCCCGTTGCAGTCTGTCCTGATACAACCAATAACTGCATTGTAATAACTATATTTGTTATCTGCAAGTACTCAATGATCAATAATGTTTCTTGTTTGTAATTGTAAACTATTTTGTATCTTAAAATACAGTCATTTGTTTCATGAAATCCTTAATCAGTTTTTGATATGGGGTGAAATTGTAATAAGACAGTTTTAATCATATGTGTGTAACTTCAGTGGATTATATACACCTAGAGCTACGATGTATATTGTAACGTGGAGGTGACATCCAGGAGAACAGTATGGTTGTGACAATAATAATATTGTAATAACAGACTTCCAACAAACACTTAGTTCATATATCAAAACATCCATAGGAGAGGCACCCCAAAAATATCTGAAAAATGTCATGCTGCTAATGAGAATTTTGATTACAATGGGCCTAATGCCATGTCACCAATGTCTTCTCATTGCAACCAAGCATCTGTTGGTCAATACTGAACAACAAAAGTTCCTGTGACATTGAATAAGATTTAATGCAAAGTTATGCTTTTTACCAAATCTGAAACAATTTTGGTTTTCAACAGATAACAGACTCCTGTAAGTGTTCAAATGGTTTAATTTGCAATACTGACTTCAGAAAATGCGTGATTTCATAAAATAGCATGATTATGCCAAAATGTCAATTTACAAATCAATAGCGTGTGTGTCCACCTCTGGTTGCGATGCAAGCTACACATCTTCGTCACATGGAATGGACCAGGCATCGCACAAAGTCCTGTGGGATATCTGTCCATATCTGCTGGAGCATGTTTCGAAGTTCCTGGAGTATCTGTGGAACACGTGGTTGACGTCGAAGGCGCCGATCCATCTCATCCCACATGTGCTCGATTGGTGAGAGATCAGGGGAGCGAGCCGGCCAGGTGATGACATTCACGTTGTCTTGTTGAAGAGAATCCTGAACAAGTCGAGCAATATGAGGCCGGGCGCTGTCATGTTGAAAGGTAATGCCTGGGCCATGACGACGAAAAAACAGGGCCGATGATCTCATCGCGTTAGCGCTGTCCATTGAGATTTCCCTCTACCACTATCAAACGGGTCCTCTGTCTTGCTGCAATCCAACCCCAAACCATAACGCTGCCGCCCCCGTACCGATCTTCTTCCATGACACAATGATTGGCGTAACGTTCACCTCGTCGTCGGTACACTCGAATCCGTCCATCGCTGTGGCTGAGGTGAAAACGAGACTCGTCAGTGAATAGAACTTGTCCCCACTGCATGGCCGTCCAGCGAAAACGCTGTCTGCACCACTGTAGACGTGCTTGACGGTGGTTTCCTGTCGAAATGGGACGTCTGGAAGGTTTTCTGGCGACAATCCCTGCACATCTGAGGCGGCGACCTACGGTTTGTGAAGATATTCGTCGAAGGCCAGGGATGTTTCTTGCAGTCACTATTGCTGGCTGGAATTGATTTCGTCGGTGTGTTGTTCGAATCCAGTTGTCTTGTCGATTATTGGTTGCGCGTGGCCTGCCACTCCGAGGATGGTCTCTGACCGCATTCGCCTGTTGCCAACGTTGCCATAAACACCAACTGGTGATTCTGTGAACGTTAAATTGTCTTGCAACATCACGTTGACTCGATCCTGCTTCAAGTATACCAATGGCTCGCAGGCGCTCATTTTCGGACAGGCATGGCATTTCGTAATGTTGAATAATTGCGTAATTCTGTTGTTTTTCTGAGTGGTTGTTGTCAGCACGATGCTAAACAATGCATATGGAATCCCGTTAACGCACAGTGAAATGCATAGGGCTTGCATAAAAGTCAACTTTTGCATGGAATGCATGCTTTTCTGTAGCAGTTGCGTTTTTGTGACTTGATTCCATACATGTACTAAAATATTGAAAACCAAACTTTACTTGTTTGAAAATAAACTAAAATATTGGTGTCACAGGAACATTTGTTGTTGAGTATATTTACATCTCTGACCCATGAAGATTCGGGTTAAAAAATGTCTCAAGCAAACCATTCTTGTCGTAAGAGGCGACTAACAGGATCGGATGGTCAGGCTTGCTGACAAAATTTTGCGATGTACAAAATACTAATTTAAGCATTGGTAAAATACATTAGCCAGCAACGCTATTTATTTGATGACCAATATATGCGAATTCGTCTTCAGTTAATACAACTTATAATTAGAGCATTAATCTGGCAATTTGTCCCTTTACGCAGAAACTGTTTTTGCTTTCGACCTTCTGGGAATATAAAATTATCAGTTATAACAATATCTTAATAAATGTCATCCTTCAGCAAATGATCTGTTAAGTAAAAGTCTATATAACATTGCTGTGCACCAACTCGACCATTGAAATAATTCAAATGTACAACAGTTGCGACAGGATGGTCCTCCGTTAAACCATTAAGTCTACTTCTTAGGACACTTAGTTCTTAGGACACACCCGTGAAGATTCCGGGGTAGAATAGGTCTTCAGCAACCCATGCTTGCCGTAAAAGGTGACTATGCTTGTCGTAAAAGGCGACTAACGGGATCGGGTGGTCAGGCTCGCTGACTTGGTCGATGCGTGTCATCGATTCCCAATAGCGTGGATCGATGCTCATGATATTAATCACTGGATTGTCTGGTCCAGACTCGATTATTTACAGACCGCCGTCAAATAGCTCGAATATTGCTGAGTGCGGCGTTAAACAACAAACCAACCAAATCCAGTAGTAGGTCCAAGATTTGCGGATGTGTGTCAGTCACATAAACAAGCCCGAATGTCGTTTTCCTTTGTTGCTTAACGCCGCACTCAGCAATAGTCGCACTCAGCTGTTGACGGTGGTTTGTGATAAATCGAATCGGGACCAGACTATCCAGGGATTGATATGAGCATCGATCCAAGCAATTGAGATTCATGACATGCATCAACCAAGTCAGCGAGCCTGACCGCCCCATCCCGTAAGCCGCCATGTTCGACAAGCATAGGTTGCTGAAGATCTATTCTAACCCGGATCTTCACGGGTGCAATTGTCGTGGGTTTCTGGATATGGTGCAAGGTAATATTCCTTATGAACATGATACAACCCGACCAATCCTTGTTGATACGGTTGAAACCTGCAGATGTATCTGCTTACATAA